CCTCTTTTAAAAACTTTCCCTGGGCTTGGTCAAGGATTTCTCTCTTTTTTTTTTTTCTTTTTTCCTAGGCTTAACTCAGCTGTCTGAGGGACATAGAACAGACACCCCTCGGAGAGAAAGTTGATTTTGGGGAATGTGCAGATGTGTCGACTGTCCTATAATTTGAGGTTTGTGGTGAGAGGCACAAAAACATTTTGGAAGGGAGAGAATGTCAGAATGAGGAATTCTCCGGAGTCCAGGAGGCAAAGGGGAATGCTCACAGCAGCCTTTACCAGGGTAGTTGTGACAGTGCCTACATAGGCTATAGTCAGGTAGGCGAGAGGAGTGTCTGTGGCATCCTGGGTATCTGGGTGCTCAGTGTCCACCCGGGAGGATCAGGGCTTCTGGCCTTCATCTAGGCAGGTGACCAGGAAATGGAGGTAGCAACGTGCTACCCATCCCCTTTCTGCCCAGCTGTGACACTGACGTGCTCTCCCTGCTTGGAGATACAGGGAGTAGCCTCCACATCCCTATTGTAGCAGTTTTTCTGTATCATGGGGTGGAGTCTGTTTCTTTTTTCTTTCTTTTTTTTTTTTTTTTTGAAGACACAAGGTCTCGCTATGTTGCCCAGGCTGTAGTGCGGTGGCTATTCACAGGCGCAATCCCACTACTGATCAGCACGAGAGTTTTGACCTGCTCCGTTTCCGACCTGGGCCGGTTCACCCCTCCTTAGGCAGCCTGGTGGTCCCCCACTCCTAAGAGGTCGCCATATTGATGCCGAACTTAGTGCAGACACCCAATCAGCATGGCGCACTACAGCCCAGAACTCCTGGGCTCAGAGATCCTCCCACCTCAGCCTCTCGAGTAGCTGGGACTACAGGCACGCGCCACTGCGCCCGGCTGGAGTCTGTTTCTAAGCATGGAGCAGACTGGCTTTCCAGGGTGCTGATGGAGGCAGAAGGAGACTTGGTTCCCTGGTGCTGTTGGACAGAGTGACTCGAGTCTAGAAACAGGCCCATGGTTTACAAAAGAATGAAGACTCGACTCTCCTCCCTGGCTTGCCGAGGGAAGACACAGGAAGACTCAATTTGAATCCAGGTTCTGCCACTTGGCAATGTGACACTGGAGGAGTTACCTGTCCTGGGTTTCTCCGTTTGTCGGAACTGGGACTAAAATAGCTCAGGGTGAGGCACGGGCACATAGGCAGTGGCCGGCCCCGTGCCTGGCGTGAAGTTGGTGGGCTGCAGATGTTACGGCACAAAAAGGAGGATAATCCCAAATGTTCACTCCCCACTGTGCGAGCCAGGGGCAGGTGCAAGGTTTCCAGGCCTTGCAAGTGGGAAATTCCCCAGCTTCCTAATGAGTGAGGCTGATTTGCTGGCTTGGAGGGAAGGGACCCCCCCATGCTGTGTTCTGGGCTACTTCTGGGCTAACCTAGCATCTGTTACTAGTCTATAAATGGACACGGAAGTGTTTTCCAAAGCACAGGCACTCTGGGTGGCTTGAATGCCCAGGCAGTCGCATCAGCACCCTTTCCTCCCACCTCAGCTGCATGAGCTGTCTTGGGTCTCTGCCCACTGCAGGTGGCTGAGATGTGTGCTCTTCCTTCATCACTTTCTAGGGGCTCAGAATTCAGAGGCCAAATTGCCTGCTGTAGGGTTACATGGTGGTGGTTCAGAAAATAGCCTCCTTCCAACCCCACACTGGAAACAAGGAAAAAAAAATAGAAAGGCTTTCTGCACGCCAGGCCACATTGCCGGCAGGCTCCATGCGGCAGCCTGGACTCCAGCCTCACACTGCTCCCTATGTGATGGGCCTGCCGGAGACACATGGTTGGGCCAATGTAATGGTAGAGAAATATACTATCCTTCTCACCACCCGTGGCCCTGGCTGCTGCGTTCTCTCATTGACGCCTGTGTTTTTTCTTCTAGTATTTGCCCATCCTTTTAATGCTTTCAGCTAACCAGAATCTTTGAGTCTGCAATTTTTCTTTTACCATGACCCTTTCCTCCCCAAAATAAACCAACTGCCATCCCCTCCCTTTCTGCCTTTTCTCTGCCAAATGTCATTTGTTTTGTACAGCGTGCCCGCCTCTGACAGCCATCATTTCTCCCCATCTGTTCTGCATCTCAGTCCTGCCCTTGATTGTCAGGAATGGGTTATGTGACCAGTGCAGTTTCCAAGGGCAGGGCCATTCAGGTGACCTGTAGTGTGTTTCCTTCAGAGGCTTCCTACTAGGCTAGGAATCAGGTCTTTAATTTCTACCTGGCGTTGTCCAGCCTTCCTGGACTCAGACACCCAACTCAGATGATGGTGATCCAAAGCGAGGTGTAGTTCCTTGAAATAAAATGGAAGGAGTTGCTAAAATTTACCTCTGGTAAAATAGTTCTTGGACCCTTGAAGTTGGCTTATTATTTATTTTCTGTCAATATCACCCTGTACGTAATGCTTTTCAGGTAGGAGATGGCTTGGTGAGTAGGTATTATTTGCAGTTTCTTTCCCTGCCCCCAACCCGCAGTTTCAATTAAATCTTATTTTGATTTTCATTCCTCTGAAAATTAACAATACAGAGATGAAGAACTGTGCCTGTCTTGCACTATTGTGCACTGTTCTTGCACTAAGAATAGAGCTTCACATCACTGTATGTGTTGCCATTATTAGTGATCTTTGCAGTGATGACTGTGCTCATAGATCACATGGACACACTCTCCCTCTTGCTGCTGTCCCTGCTCCATTCACCTGCCTAAGAGAGGTACTGTATGTCACACACATACCATTCTGTGGCTACGCCTTGAATGGTTCACTGAACATTTTAGATGGCTTTTCTCTTACAGAGTTTCTTTCTTTCTTTCTTTTGCTTTTTTTTTGTTGAGATGGGATTTCACTATGTTGGCCAGACTGGTCTCGAACTCCTGACCTTGTGATCTGCCCACTTTGCCCTCCCAAAGCGCTAAAGTGCTGGGATTACAGGTGTGAGCTACCATGCCTGGCCTCTTTTTTTTGAGACAGAGTCATACTCTGTCACCCAGGCTGGGGTACAGTGGCACGATCTCGGCTCACTGCAACCTCTACCACCTGAGTTCAAACAGTTCTCCTGTCTCAGCCTCCCAAGTAGCTGGGATTATAAGAGTGCACCACTATGCTCAGCTAATTTTTGTATTTTCAGTAGAGACGGGGTTTCACCATGTTGTCGAGGCTAGTCTTGAACTCCTGACCCCAGGTGATCTGCCTGCCTTGGCCTCCCAGAGTGCTGGGATTACAGTCATGAGCCACCATTCCCAGCCAGAAATTTCTTTCTTTTCTTTTCTTTTCTTTTTTTTTTTTTTTTTTTGAGACCGAGTCTTGCTCTGTTGCCCAGGCTGGAGTGCAGTGGTGTGATCTCAGCTCACTGCAACCTCCACCACTCAAGGTCAGTAAATTCTCCTTCCTCAGCCTCCTGAGTAGCTGGGACTACAGATGCATGCCGCCACACCTGGCTAAATTTTTTTGTATTTTTAGTAGAGAGGGGGTTTCACCACCTTTGCCAGGATGGTCTTGATTGCCTGACCTCATGATCCACCCGCCTTGGCCTCCCAAAGTGCTGGGATTACAGACGTGAGCCACCACGCCCGGCCCAGAAATTTCTTGAGATTCTTTTCAGTCCTGCTCTCCACTCATCCTCAACCAAAATGAGAACTCTGTTTGTAGTCAGCTTAATCAGTTGTGAGGATCACACAAATCCACGGTGTCAACATTTAAGGTTGCAATGTACGTTCTTCTCCAAATGTTACTACCTTTGTATCTTACACTATTTATGTCCCTGCTGTCATGGTAGCTGGGGGATCTTAAAGACTTAGTGGTTCTTTTGTTTGTTTTGTTTTAGCGATACTTTGCATCATGGTGCCAGTTCCATTCCAGCTGGGGTCGGGGAGTTGGGGCAGGTTCTGCTTTAGACCCTGCAGCCTGGAACAGAGCACTGTCCCCAGTTTCTTGCCTCATTCCCATACCTGGTGTGTTTGGACCAGATTGTGAAGAGCTCCAAAGCCCTACACTTAAAAATCCACAGCACCACTGGGCATGGTGGTTCACACCTGTAATTCCAGCACTTTGGGAGAGGCTGAGGCAGGTGGATCACAAGGTCAGGAGATTGAGACCATCCTGGCTAATACACTGAAACCTCAACTCTGCTAAAAATACAAAAATTAGCTGGGCATGATGGTGTACACCTGTAGTCCCAGATACTCGGGAGGCTGAGGCAGGAGAATCACTTGAACGCAGGAGGCGGAGGTTACAGTGAGCTGAAATCATGCCATTGCACTCCAGCCTGGTGACAGGCTGGAGTTTGTTGAGCCCAGTAAGTCTAAAATATGATTTCAAAATATAATTAATATAAAACAATTATTAGGGTTGGGCTAATAAACAATTATCCCAGCACTTTGGGATACCAAGGTGGAAGGATCGCTTGAGGCCAGTAGTTCAAGATTAGCCTGGGCAACATAGTGAAACCCCATCTCTACAAAAAGGTTTTTTTAAATGAGCTGTGCCTGGTGGCATGTGGTACCTGTAGTCCTAGCCATTCCAGAGGCTGAGGCAGGAGGATTGCTTGAGCCTAGGAATCAGGCTGCAATAAGACATGATTATGCCACTGTACTTCAGCCAGGGTGACAGAATAAGACCTTTCCTAAAAAACAAACAAACAAACAAAAATAAAAAGAATTATTAGTGAGGTATTTTGCATTTCTTTTACTAAGCTAAGTCTGAAATGTGGTGTGTGTTCTACACTTACAGCACATCTCCATTGGACCAGCCACATTTTGAGTCCTCAGGAGCCAGGTGTGGGCAGTGGCCACCTTCATGTCATGGGCAGCACAGCTCTCTTGAATACCTGAAGTCCTAAGACATCAGGATCCACAACCCCCATCCTTCAACTTATTTGTTTCATGGCTAGAATGTATAAGCACGGACTAAAAAGAGATAATTAAAATTGGGTTTTTTTTTTTAAATACCGAAAAGAGTTAACAGTTTATTATAATTTATTTTATTTAACAATCTAGGAAGTTCGCAGCCATCAGCAGTTGTAGTGCAGTTTCAGGTGCAATTGGGAATTCAGGAATCTCAGTGCAGCTGTTAGTGTAGCGAACCTTGTACGTAAAATACATGCATACTGGCCGGGCACGGTGGCTCAAGCCTGTAATCCCAGCACTTTGGGAGGCCGAAGCGGGTGGATCACGAGGTCGAGAGATCGAGACCATCCTGGTCAACATGGTGAAACCCCGTCTCTACTAAAAATACAAAAAATTAGCTGGGCATGGTGGCACGTGCCTGTAATCCCAGCTACTCAGGAGGCTGAGGCAAGAGAATTGCTTGAACTCAGGAGGCTGAGGTTGCAGTGAGCCGAGATTGCACCATTGCACTCCAGCCTGGGTAACAAGAGCGAAACTCCGTCTCAAAAAAAAAAAAAATACATGCATACTTTTGATAGCACATGTGAAGGGATCTCTCTAAAATTGACCTCATTGGTTTCGTTCTCAGCAAATTGACCTGGGCCACTCAACATGGCTTTTATTGTGCCTGATGTTAATGCATGTTCTCTTTTTACAATAAATTCATGGCCATCAGATGATATCAATTTGACATACGTGGTATCAGGGCCTTCATAGCCACCATAGGTTTTCTCCTCTCCATCCATTTTGTTCTTTTTTTTGAGACGGAGTTTCGCTCTTGTTACCCAGGCTGGAGTGCAATGGCGCGATCTCGGCTCACCGCAACCTCCGCCTCCTGGGTTCAGGCAATTCTCCTGCCTCAGCCTCCTGAGTAGCTGGGATTATAGGCACGTGCCACCATGCCCAGCTAATTTTTTGTATTTTTAGTAGAGACGGGGTTTCACCATGTTGATCAGGATGGTCTCGATCTCTTGACCTCGTGATCCGCCTGCCTCGGCCTCCCAAAGTGCTGGGATTACAGGCGTGAGCCACCGTGCCTGGCGATCCATTTTGTTCTTATGAAAAAATTCTACTTGGCTTCCCCAGGAACTTTAGCAGTTTCTCATCAGCCTGGCAGCCACCGAAGCTGGGTCCCCACGTAGTGCCACAGCCCCTATTCAAATTGGAGTCTTTTTTTTTTTTTTTTTTTTTTTTTTTTTTTTGAGGCGGAGTTTCACTCTTGTTACCCAGGCTGGAGTGCAATGGCGCGATCTCGGCTCACCGCAACCTCCGCCTCCTGGGTTCAGGCAATTCTCCTGCCTCAGCCTCCTGAGTAGCTGGGATTACAGGCACGCGCCACCATGCCCAGCTAATTTTTTGTATTTTTAGTAGAGACGGGGTTTCACCATGTTGACCAGGATGGTCTCGATCTCTTGACCTCATGATCCACCTACCTCGGCCTCCCAAAGTGCAGGGATTACAGGCTTGAGCCACCGCGCCCGGCCTTTTTTTTTTTTTTTTTTAGACAGAGTTTCGCTCTTGTTACCCAGGCTGGAGTGCAATGGCGCGATCTCGGCTCACCGAAACCTCCGCCTCCTGGGTTCAGGCAATTCTTCTGCCTCAGCCTCCTGAGTAGCTGGGATTACAGGCACGCGCCACCATGCCCAGCTAATTTTTTGTATTTTTAGTAGAGACGGGGTTTCACCATGTTGACCAGGATGGTCTCGATCTCTTGACCTCATGATCCACCTACCTCGGCCTCCCAAAGTGCAGGGATTACAGGCTTGAGCCACCGCGCCCGGCCTTTTTTTTTTTTTTTTTTAGACAGAGTTTCGCTCTTGTTACCCAGGCTGGAGTGCAATGGCGCGATCTCGGCTCACCGAAACCTCCGCCTCCTGGGTTCAGGCAATTCTTCTGCCTCGGCCTCCTGAGTAGCTGGGATTACAGGCACGTGCCACCATGCCCAGCTAATTTTTCGTATTTTTAGTAGAGACGGGATTTCACCATGTTGGCCAGGATGGTCTCGAGCTCTTGACCTCGCGATCCACCCGCCTCGGCCTCCCAAAGTGCTGGGATTACAGGCTTGAGCCACCGCGCCCGGCCCTTGGAGTCTTTTTTAAGACTTGATTTGTTCATGTCATGTTTCCCTGGCTCAGTAAGTGGCTCTCAGTGGATGCTGTAAGTGGATGCTTTATGGTCTCCTCACATAAAGTCTTGGAGAAGAGCTCCCAGCGGGAATGCACAAAGCCTGGCTGCTCCTGAATATCTGCAGACAAGATTAAGAGGACACATGCTTCCACAGTGCTGTGTAGCCTTTAACCTCCCAGTACCTAGAGCTGGGGGGCGGTGGCGGGGGGCAAGGGGATTTTCTGTGGGTAGAGGAAATTTAAAAAGAAATCAAGCAATAAATCAAGACTTTGTCTTTGTTTTTTCATATAGTGAAATAGAAGATGAACTCAACTGAATTCAGTGAAGATGTAGAAGAAGGTAAAAAAAATGCCCTTTAAAAAAAAATGTTTTTAACTGAATACTTTTGATTAGGTCATACATTCACATGGTCCAAAAATATACAAGGTTATATCCTGAGAAGTCCCCTCCCGCCCTGGGTTCCCATCTGCCTCCACTCACACACTTGTTACCTTGTATCTCTTTTAAAAAGTTACTTTTTTAAAGCACAAAAAGGTAATATTTTATTTCTCTTTCTCCGCTGCCTTCCCTCCCCAAAAGATTTTTAAACCAATTTTGAACTAAATGCTCCTGGCTCAGGGCTTTATTGTATAGCACTAGTGCCATGAGATAAAGATTGCATTGTTGGGCAGCGCAGCTTTGCTATGACTAGACATCATTATCCGAGCGCTGGTGTCAAAGGGCAGCCGACAGACACCCTGCCGCTCGGAGAACCTGCTAATCTCTGAGCTGCCCTGGTCTTTCCCACTGATCCCTGTTTCTTCTCTGACACAGTTCTAAAAAGTAACACTGTGAAAGTGGAGACAGAGGCGGAAGATGCTGCTCTGGACTGCTCTGTGAATTCCAGGACTTCTGAGAAGCACTCTGCGGACAGCTTCCTCCCTGCCCTCCAGGACTCCAGCAAACGAAAGCAGCTGCTCGGCGATGGCCAGCTAGACTCTGTCCCCAGCGTGAAGAGGCGGCGGCTGATCCCTGAGGTGAGGGCCCGGCTCCTGTTACTCTTTGCTTGGGTCTAACCCTCTCTGATTCCATGATGAATCTCCCTCTTGTTTTGGGCATCCTGGCAACTGCTGAAACGTTAGGCACAGGAAAGTTTTCATTTAAGCTATCCCATCTCTGGCTTCAGTTTCTTGCAGATGTCTTTAACTGGAATTCTTGTCTGTGTCTGGATTCCTGATGGGTAAAGGGAGCCTTCACATTGCAGTGGGTTTTGCATTATTTTGCTGTGCTTTGTAGGGAAAGGCAGGAGCTTTCTGATAGTGAGGACGGTTAATGTAAGCCTACCACACGTGACATTGAAGCTGATTCCCGCAAAAATGGGGCATTAGCTGGAGGTCAGGTCTTTTCCTAAATTAAATCTATCCATCATTTATTTAAATAGAAACTGGATCTCACTATGTTGCCCAGGCTGGTCTTGAACTCCTGGCCTCAAGTGATCCTCCTGACTTGGCCTCCCAAAGTGCTGGGATTATAGGTGTGAGCCATAGTGCAGGGCCAACTCTTTGTTTAATTGGTTTGTTTTAATTCTCCCCTGGTGGATGTTAGGGGAGATCCAAACAAATTGGGAAGTTATACATTTTAGGGATTTGGTTAGGTTTTAATTTGCATAATGGTAAGACTAAGATTTTAACTAGGATTTAAATATACATGTTTACATTATAGTGAGGACCTACATTCTACATCATGGAACATTGAGTGATACTTTTTTAAAATTTGAAATGGAATTTCCTTCTTGCTGCCCAAGGCGGGAGTGCAATGGCACAATCTCAGTTCACCGCAACTTCTGCCTCCCAGGTTCAGGCAATTCTCCTGCCTCAGCCTCCTGAGTAGCTGGCACGTGCCACCATGCCCAGCTAATTTTTTGTATTTTTAGTAGAGACGGGGTTTTACCATGTTGACCAGGATGGTCTCGATCTCTTGACCTCGTGATCCACCCGCCTCGGCCTCCCAAAGTGCTGGGATTACAGGTGTGAGCCACTGCGCCCGGCCCGATTTTGACCATTCTAATAGATACGTGGTAGTGTCTTGGGTTTTTTTGTTTGTTCGTTTAGTTAAAAAAAATTTTTTTTGTAGAGATAGGGAGTCTCGCTATGTTGTCCAGGCTGTTCTTGACCTCCTGGCTTCAAGGGATCTTCCTGCCTCAGCCTCCCAGAGTGTTGGGATTACAGGCAGGAGCTGCTGTGCTAATTTTTGTTTATGTTGCTGTCATTTTGAGACAGGGTCTGTCTGTGGCCCAGGGTGGAGTGCAAAAGCAGTGGCACATCAGGTGTGGTGGTTCACGCCTGTAATTCCTGCACTTTGAGAGGCTGAGGCAGGTGGATTGCTTGAGTGCAGGAGTTCCAGACCAGCCTGGACAATGTGGCAAAACGCCGTCTCTACAAAAAAAGTTAACCAGGCGTGGTGGCGCACACCTGTAGCCCCAGCTACTCAGGAGGCTGAGGTGTGAGAATCGCGTGAACTTGGGAGGCAGAGGTTGTGGTGAGCTGAGATCATGCCATTGCACTCTAGCCTGGGCAACAAGAGCAAAATCCGTCTCCAAAAAAAAAAAAAAGTTACTGCCAAACCCAAGGTCATGTAGATTTTCTCTTATGTTATCTTGTAAGTGTTTTATAGTTTTTCATTTCACATTTAGGTTTGTGATCGATTTTGAGTTGATTTTTGTAAAGAGTGTAAGGACTATGTCTAGATGGATATGTTTGCATGTGGATGTCCAGTTTGGTCCAGTAACGTATGTTGAAAAGACTCTGTCCTCCATCATATTGCTTCTGTTGACTGTCTTTATGCCATTCTAATTCTGAGCTCTCTATTCTGTTCCATTGCTATTTGTTTATTCTTGCCCCAATACAATCGTATCTCGATTACTGTAGCTTTATGGTAAATGTTGAAGGTAGGTAGTATCAGTCCTTTAACTGTGTTCTTTTTTTTTCAATATTGTGTTAGCTATTCTGGGCTTTTGTCTGTCTATATAAATTTTAGGATTAGTTTATTGATGCCAATAAAATAGCTTGCTGGGATTTTGATTGGGATCATGTTGAATCTGTAGATCAAAGTGGAAAGAACCGATATCCTGAAAATACTTAGTCTGCCTATCTATGAGCGTGGAATGTCTCTCCATTTATTTAGTTCTTTAATTACTTTAGTCAGTTTTGTACTTTTCCTCATACACATCTTGTATATATGTATTTTGTTAGGCTTATAACTAAGTATCTAATTTTTTGGAGGCCTGATATAAATGGTATTGTGTTTCTAATTTTAAATTCTACTTGTTTATTGCTGGTATATAGGAAATAAAACTGACTTTTGTATAGTAACCTTGTAACTACAACCTTGCTGTAATTGTTTATTAGTTCAGTTAGTTGTTTTTTTTTTTTTGAGGCGGAGTTTCGCTCTTGTTACCCAGGCTGGAGTGCAATGGCGCGACCTCGGCTCACCGCAGCCTCCGCCTCCTGGATTCAAGCAATTCTCCTACCTCAGCCTCCTGAGTAGCTGGGATTACAGGCACGCGCCGCCATGCCCAGCTAATTTTTTGTATTTTTAGTAGAGACGGGGTTTCACCATGTTGACCAGGATGGTCTCGATC